ATATGATTTAGTGTAGGTTGTAAATTTGCTCCATACAGTTTGAGATTGATTCGTCTTGTTTGAACTCAGTTTGTAAAAGAAATGAGCTGAGCTCAAACAAAATGTTAGGCTCATAGGATCTTTAGCTTCACTATACTCGATCATAGAGCTCATTAAGATTTGGTGTATCACATGGAATGAGGCAGCTCAAGACGTTGATCATTTTTCTTCATTTCCAATTGCATTGACATTGTGGCAAAAAATTTATCCTTATGAGGATTCCCTCTTGACCATTCAGACTTTCAGAGTGTGAGTGGGTTGATAGAGGAACAAGGAAATACTCAAGACTTTTATACTTTCCTTGTGTGATTAGCTCTTGAATCGCTCTATGTTATGGAGAAAACTTGGGGAGAAATAGTAGCGTAGTCACAACTCATGAGGAAGTACTTTTTTGGGAGTTTGCAGTAGATACTTGTTCAGGTGTGGGCACAGAATATGTTTTCGGTTTTTCCGGATTTGACTAATGGAAGAAACCGCAATGGCTAACAGACCACATGGGGGTTGCTTGTACATTTCCCAACATATTTTTGTTTGAGAATCCTTTACATGACTAATGCAAATCCGGTGCTTGGTCAAGCTGACCTATTGAAAAGAATATGCATAAATTTTTAGCCACCGAAGTGTAATTATTAATTTCTTTTTATCTTTTTATTTCTAAATCTTGACTATGTTGGTAAATAAGCTTTCGAGATATCAGATATTTAGCCCAGTTTAGCAGCATTCGTGTTTCTTAGTTAGATTGAAGATGTTCTGTTTTTTGGTGGTTCTGATTTCTGAATGTGTGCATAGATAAGGCTGAGAGATTATTGGCTGAAGCGGCCAGGTACGGGGCCCAGCTGGTTGTGTTCCCCAAAGCATTTGTGGGTGGTTATCCCCGTGGGTCGAATTTTGGCATTGTCATTGGGAACAGAACAGCTAAGGGTAAAGAAGAATTCAGAAAGTATCATGCTGCAGCCATTAATGTGCCTGGTAAAACTTCTTTGTTTTTTTCTTTCTTGATGATTTCGTCCATTGGTTATGCGTAAGAAACTGAAATAAATTGAATTCATTAGAATTCCCAGTGTGATTGAGTGGTGGATTGAAGTGAAGTCAGTGCAGTGAAATGTCAGTTGGTGGTTAAACTTCAAATTCATCTATTAGTTGCTATAAGTTCTTTGTTTATTTGAGTCAAGAAAATTTACGCTGTGCACCTGCAGTGCAATTAACTAGGGCTATGGCTGTGGTTAAGCATCAGTTTATTGTTAAACTTCAAATTCAATTGGTAGCTATAACTTACAAGTTCTTTGCTTTATTGTAGTGTAGAGAACTAACTGCTGTCCTATTTTTTCCGATGAAAGTTATATTCTAGAGAAAATGGATTCTATTGAATATTTATTTTTTGGTGAGAACTCCGAAGAATGTTCGATGCAAAAACAACAAAAACGTGAAAAAAGGAAAAGACTTCAAGTTTTTCTTCTTATTTGTTGGTTAGACTATTATTTCTTCTTTTTCACCTGTCAAAGAAGTTCAGAAAAGAACCTTAATTCATTGGAAAATGGTTTCTCAGTGCATTGACTCGCATCTTAACTATTTTTACTTGGCCAAAAGGATGCCAGTGGTTGACTTGAGAAATGCAGGCCTATTTATACTGCTCTTCATGACTTAGTTGTGGCCGCTAAAATGGGACACTAGTGGTTCATGTCAGGCTCACTCTCAGCAAAACATTCTACACCTATTTTGCAAGTGGATGTTATCAACTAAATTTTGTTGGAAATATCTCAGTTTCCTTATTGTTTGATGCAATTCAAATCTTGTTACGCTAAGTGTTAGTAACTTTACTGAGGCATGCTATCATATTTTGATCTTAAATCAATATGCAGGTGGACAACGTATTCTAAAACTGTCATTGTTTGACCTAAGTGCATTCTACGAATAGAATTGTGAGCATACAATATGTAGTTTCACTTTTTTTATTAACTAATGCAGATCCTGAAGTTGATCGATTGGCAACAATGGCTGGAAAGTACAAGGTATTCTTGGTAATGGGTGTGATAGAGAGAGAGATGGATATACACTCTATTGCACTATTCTGTTTTTTGATTCTCAAGGTTGCTATTTGGGAAAGCACCGAAAAGTGATGCCCACAGCACTGGAGCGGATCATTTGGGGATTTGGAGACGGATCTACAATTCCTGTGTTTGAGACTCCAATCGGAAAAATAGGTGCTGCCATTTGTTGGGAAAATAAGATGCCACTTCTAAGGACAGCAATGTATGCTAAAGGTTCGTTATCTGAACAGGAAAATTTGAAATATCACACTTAATTAAATATTTTGGCTCACTTTTTTTAATACTTCAGTTTTCTTCGAAGCTATTTGTTCAATTTTTTTTTTCACTTCTTATTTTGGTGTTCATAATTACACTATTTAAGTTTAGTGTTGTATGAATGGAGGATGGCCTTTCATGGGCAGTGCAATACGATCTGGGTTTCTCATTTTACTTCTGGGCTATAGCCCTGTTTGAAACTGCTTTCTTCCAGTTTTAGTGCCTTGCCATGCAAGTTTGAGTTCCATATGTGGTGTTAACTTGAATACAGACCGGTATCAGGTCAAAAAGATTATTTGGCTTGCTAGGGGTATACTATTCTGTGATCTTTGTGTAGGGTTGAGTCAGTTTCTAGATTCCTGGGCAATTGGTCGAGTATGTTGCTACTCAAACAACTCAAATTGAAATAAGACACATGATTGATTTACACTTCTTTCTAAAGATTTAAGAATAGTCTGCCAATATTTGTGGCATAATCTGGTTTTCCTTACCAAATTGGCATTTTACCATCCATTCAATACATGGTTTTTCCTAGCTACCTTCTTTTCCAACACAATGACTCAAGAACATCTGTAAGTGTGTGTATATCATATTTGGGCCCCAATTAGCCCTCTTGAATATATGTAAAGAGGAGACTTGCCCTTATTCTATCCTATTCTATAGGGAAACCCCACCCTCACTTGAAAGAGGAAACTCATGGTAAACCCTAGACTCTCTACTCTCTCAAAAGATGACCTACATTTGCATAGTGAAACAGAACTACACCAGCGTGAACGTAGCGCAACTTCGGGTGAACCATGATACATCTTTGTGTTCCTGTGCGTTTGTGTGGTTTTACGGTCAGATCTAAGTTGGTCCAAATTTATCAACTGTTTTTTTAATTCAAAACTGTTTTTTACTCAACGTGAACATTAAAATTATGGTAGAAACAATGCATTTCTTGGTGGAGTTTAAAGGTGTTCTTAGTACCGCTTTGATACTATTATCTTTAGTACTGTGATTTGATGCAGGATGCTTTGTTTTGTGCAGGCATTGAGATTTATTGTGCTCCTATAGCTGATTCCAGGGATTTATGGCAAGCATCAATGACTCATATTGCCTAGGAGGTTGAGTGTTTTGTCCTATCAGCCAATCAGTTCTGTCGAAGGAAAGACTACCCCCCTCCTCCAGAATATGTATTTGCAGGCACAGAAGATGAACCTGCTCCATATTCTGTTGTCTGTGCCGGAGGCAGTGTCATCATCTCACCGTCAGGGACTTCTCGCTGGACCCAATTATGATGGGGAGGCACTCATCTCAGCAGATCTCAGTATGTCATATGCTTATTCTCTCCTAACAGCAATTAAGTATCTATATTGCAAGCTGTGCTGACATAATTTTGAGTAACAACAATCTGGCTCCTGAGATATACTGGAAATTAGAAAAACTTCAACTTCAAACGAAATTGTAGGAACCTCCTTTCTATTTTCAGAGATTAAAGTACCCTCACAACCCATGATAGATTTCAGCACAACTTACTTAAATTTACTACATCTGCCTTTACAATATTTACTATATTTCGTGAGTTCGGATATATCTAAACAGAAAATGGACTCCAGATGCATCAATTGATTTGCAACCTTAATTTATGATTTCTAGTAAAACGAGAACCCTAGTATAGTATGATAAGAAATTTCTCTAAATTCCAATATGGCGAGGAAGCGCAATGGGGGCTTTAAAAATAAGAGGGATTTGAAAGTAAATGTTGGTGTAATTTACTGATAACTTTCTGATCTAGGCTCTCTGTTGTTATGTGTATGGTGTGAGGCAGTATGGTTTAATCGATAATATAGTTTGATTGATCCTTTCGCACACACGCATGTAGATTACAGTGGGTATGGTTTCAAGCTTTATTAGAACTATTGTACTTCTAGCTCTTTTAAGCGAACAGAGCTCTGATTTTTTTCTAATGACCGAATGTTGCATAGATCTTGGAGAAATAGCAAGGGCGAAATTTGACTTTGATGTGGTTGGACACTATTCACGGCCCGAAGTGCTAAGCTTGATCGTGAGGGACCATCCAGCAACTCCAGTTGCATTCACATCAGCCTCAGCAAAGACCGATCGTGAAGTCTCCCATAAGTCATAATTGGATTTCATCAGTTCACCGACAGTGGTTAGCAAAATGCCGGCCTGTTCAATAATAATAAGAAGACCCTTTTGTAGATATCATTGTTGATGTATTTCCAACGTAACCAGGCCACCTTGATTTCGTATATGGTTCTCGTTCATCAAATGTGAATCGTTTTAACTCATTTGTACTGTAAAGAAGTTGCTACAGTTGAAGTTTAATGTGGTTCTGTACTTTGTTCATGTGTATGGAGGTCAAGTTCATAAATATGTTTGCAAACATGTTGAATTTATTATCTTGATTCTGAATGCAACTGTCTGGTTCTACTCGAACCAGGCACGTTGCATCCGGCATATACTCTACAATCCATAAAAATGTAAACTATTGTGTTGTCGAAGTGCAGCTTATGTGAAAATCGCGAGCATCTAGCCTTGAACGTCGGAATTTTGGCAACCATGTCACTGTCGACTTGTCGAGGCTCCTGACCGTGATCAGCGTTTAATGTCCGCTATCCCGAAAGATTGAATGACGTGGTCATGAAGAAAGCATGCTGCAAAACGATGTATAATTCTCAGAACTCAAAAGAAATAACATGAAAACATCTATATACTCTTGATCCTGGCATTGGCATTTTCTTCATGCTAGTTGGAGCTCCGAATCATTCTCATGAAGCATCCGTCTAACTTCCGCACACTCCGGTTCCAGGATCCTTCATCGGCAAGGATTGAAACTGACAAGTTGTACCGGCTAAGCTGTGGATCGGAACTACTTTTGAATTGGATAACCTATGGTCTGTGAGACCCTTTGCAGAACCCTTTTTCTTTGTTTCGGTTTCATGTTCTGGCGTTTGAGTTTGCGGAACAAGCTCTGATATTTCCATAAGCCGCCCGTCTGAGTGCCCTTGAGATTTTACGCCAAACTCCCAATCAATGCCGCTGGAATTTTTGTTCAAGCATATGCTTTCCCATTGTATTTTTTCGGAGAGAGATCTCCTCCCTTTGAATTGTTTATCAACTGAAGTCCGTTTTGAATCATCTTCGGTATCATCTCCGAAGGCATAACTCCATTTGTAGCTCTTGTTGTTATTGTCCATGCTTAACTCGATGGAATGAAGATCGCTATCAACTGAAGTCCTTTTTGAATCATCTTCACATTCTTCTCTATATGCAGCAACTTCCATTCCATTCCCTTCTAGCTTCGCGTTCTGAAATGATCCGAAATTGATCTTCTTTAAATAAGCCTCGAGTTCCTTGATTTTACTGAAGTCTGGAGAACCGCCACTACCTTCATGCGTTTTGGATATCAAGTGAGCCTCTAGTTCATTCTTCAGCTGTTCCACAATGGCATTTTTCTCCTCGAAATGATATTTGGCTTCGGAGAGCTTCAACTGGACTCTCTCCTCGCGCAACACATCAGCTAGCTGAAGCATTTCCCTCTCCTTCTCCACCTCTTCACGAACTTTTTCGGATTCTTTCTTTAGCTCTTCGACTTGTGCTCTGTCCTCCCCAAGACCAGTGGCTAACTCATTACAAACCTGCTCAAAGATCTCTTTTGCCCTCTTCTCCATCTCAAGCTCTTTCGTGGCCTTCGACAGAGCTGCCTCTTTATCTGCCAGTTCTTTCCCTAGCTTCTTGTTCAACCTTTCTGTTTGTCTTCTTAGCTTCTTCTCCACCTCGAGTTCTTCTGCTACGCACGCTATTGCGGCACATATCCTCTCTCGCTCCTTACTTTTCCATCCTGCCTTTTCTTCTGCGAATTTCTTCACAAGATACTCAATTTCGTTGCAGTTAGACCTCTGTTCTCGGATCATTTGATGAATCTGGACACGAGCTCGATCAAGCTCAACTCGTAGGGCCGAGAGTAAGGTTGTACTTAAAGAATGCTGCTCTTCAAGACCCGAAACGCGAGTAAGAACTTTTACAAGCTCTTTAGATGTAGAAAGGCCACTATTGACATCCTTCAAACAGGTCTTAAATCCGTGTATGCAATTTCGATCAGGTTTCACACAAGATTGATCTTTGAGCTGCACATTGTGAAATTCAATCAACATGTTTACTTATTCATCATCCTAGGAATCCATGCAGCCTAATGCAATCAACATGTCTACTCAAAGATTCAAAATAGCTGTGCTCAAAAGTTAAGTGACAAACGTTCTTTTTTATACAAGCGATATGAGAGAGTAAGAAAGCGAACTCGAAATCTCGGGGGTAGGGAGTGAGTGCTTTAAGCAATAAGAATTTTTATGGTGTTTCGGAGTATGAGATACTCTAGAACACCATAGAATTTATGTCAAGTAACAAGCATTCTTTTTCAGAAGAGATATTAGAGAAGTGAGGGAGGGAACTCGAGTGGAGAGAGTAAATGTTCTTAACTAACTTAGTTAAGAACTCATTCATTAAGGCAAACATTCTAGTTGACCATTTAAACAAATGCTTTAGATTAATTATATCAGGAGAAAGTCATTAAGTTGACCATATCGTCATTATACCATCGTTGTGTGGTCGTTACATCATCATTGTGTTATCGATATATGATTAATATATCGTCGTAATTGTTAAAAACTGGTCACTTGTACAATTAAATATAAAAAATAATAATTCTAGTTAATTGTCCAATTTTTAAACATGAGAGTGAATAGCTAGATCAACTTTTTCAAACAAAAATTTTGAATTTTATTCATTGAAAATGACAAGGCAGAAAAGTACATTTGAAATTTATTATCCATGGGTTATTATTGGACAAATTTTATGGGGACCAATTTTTATTGAATCACTGTCAACATCTTATTGTCATGTTTTATAATTTTACGTGACACAAACGGTAAAAATAAAAATTCCAGAAACCTTGTTCCTCTGTTTATTTTTTCACCAATGAAATATATAATATATTAGAAATGAACTTTCTTAATGTAAGACTCTATGAACTCCCTGCCATTTTATATTTTTTGCTTAACCCTTTAAAATGTTGACACATGAATTGTGCCAAAAATATAAAATGGCAAAGAGTCCACTAAATATCTCATTTTTTAGATAATCTCCGTATTATTTCTCATAATATACATATTGAAATGCAGTTGTTTTTTTTTTTTTTTTTTTTTACCTGAGTTAAACTGGCCCTTGTAGTGTGAGTCTGGAAACCTCCCATTTGGTAATGATTCAAAGGAAGTTTCTGAGAAACGGCCGACAACCCTCTCTGGCGTCCAGCATTCCCAGATCCATTTCTCCTCTGCACAAAATTCCCAAAAACAAAATTTAATACTTTCAAATTCAATTTAATAAATAAGTAATTTTCACTTCCATAATATAGTAGAAAAAACAAAGCCCAAACAGAAAAATAATCTAAATGTCTGAATAAAATAGGTAACAAGTAGGGTATTGTCTTAGTGGTTGGGGGTTTTATTTTTAACCTTACTGTGTTGTGTTTAAACTCTTTCTTTTTGCTTTAACATAAATTAGTACAGATAACTTATAGTAAAAAAGAATAGGTAATTGATTTTTGCACATCTTCTACCCCGTCACCCATATGTGTATCTGACCTATGACATTTAGAATGAATTAAAAGTGCTCTTAAAATGACTGAAAACACTTTTAAAGACAAATGTTTTTGAATTCTAAAGCACTTGAAGTGCTATTTCGCAAGAAGCACAAAAATACACCAAATGCTTTTCCATATTAACTTGCATTTTATTAATAATTAGTTCTAAAAATATTTTCATAAAAAACGCGTTCAGTTATTTAAAAACACTTCTAAGCGAGACCTTAATCGAGAGAAAAATGTTTGCGAAACTCTTTTTGATTTCTTCTCCTGCATTTTCATTGAATACATCAATAAAAATTTCGATCACATGAAATGAGTGGTAAAAGAGAAAAGGGTAGTGTAAATTCACCCCTTAAATAATCCTTACCTCAGAAATAGGAGTAGAGGATGGATCTGATAACTTTGGAGGCAAGGAACCGGCTAAGGAAGGAACTTGAGCAACTTTGGAAGCCTTCTTTCTGAAAGCAGTTTGTTCTTGCTCGTTAATTTCCCACAAAGTCGCCGCCAGCTTTCTCGCCGAAACCGAAACCACTTCCTTCCCTTTTCCGCCGCTGCCGCCGCCGTGCTTCGAAGCCGGTCTCCGCTGCTGCTGCAGCGTTGCCATCTCATCATGCTCCTCACCCCCATTCGCCATCATCGTCGCCACACAAGGTGATCTCGCTGCTGCCGCCGCGCTTACAGTCTTCGAGGTGGGGACTGGGGTGCTCGAGCCGCCTCGCTTTCCGACCAGGATTGCCCTCTTGAGTCTGTACCTACGGACCAAGGAAGACGACGAGGAAGACGAGCCGCCGCCGCGCTTCCTGATCTTGCATTGCCTGTCGACGACCAAGCTGTGGCAATGCTGGTGGTTTTTCCAAGACATAGAAATTGGAACAGAAGACTGCAGAGTGCAGAGAAAATGGTGGATTAAATTTTAGGGAAATTGGGGTGTGGGTGAATCTTTTGGAGCAAATGATGGAGACCGAAATGGAAGATGTTGAAGATTTGGGGAGTGAATGGAGAGATTGGATTGGAGGAGGAAGAAAAATAATGAAAAATCAAGGGGCTGAAAAAAGTTGATGGAAGTACATTGATGATAAAATAATGATAGTGTCCAGATTTTCTTTTTAGGTAAATATTTTCAAACTGTCAGCCTTGAATTTATCAAAGAAGAAAAAGTGTCAAAGATTCTGAGCTTTGGTGGATTTTTGGGGCAGTCTTAAAGAGAATGAAAGAAGCTCAAAAAGGTGTCAAACTAATCAAAAAAGGTGTCAAACTAATCAAAAATGGAAGGTGAGGGGTGGGATTTTGGGAACAATCAATGGAAGCTTTATTTTGTTTTAGAAATGTTGAGAGGGAAGTAAAGAAGACTAGGACAGGAGTATACTCATAACTCAAATATATGACAAATCAATATAAATTGCGTGAAAAAATAAGACATGTGAGTAGATATAATAATCTTTTTTTTTTTTTTTATAATATTATTGTCAAGTAGTGTTATTATTATATTTAAATTATATCCATTATATGTATTTGTTCGTGTTATTATTTCACTTGAATCATATCGATTGCATATATTTGTTCGTAGTGTTATTATTTCAATTGAACTTAAGACATCTTACTTATAAATTAAGAATAGTGGTATAATACTATCAGATTGTAATAATAAGTAACAAATAAAATACAGTAACACGTGTAATAATAACATTATGTGAAGTGTTTCAGTTACACAAAAAAATTGGTCAAGGGGAGATTGATTTATAGTTGGAAATGAAATTTTGGGGTTTTATGTTCTTGGATTAGGAAAGGGATCCGTTCCGGATTCCTTCCACCTAATCCTCCTCATCAAACAATTTGGGCATTTGAAATTTGATCCAACAGTTAAAGTTATTATAACTTTTAAAGTGAGTCTGTATTTTTAACCGTTGAATTAAATTTTAAGAGTTTAAATTTTTTGATGAGGAGGATTAAATAAAAGAGATTTAAAAATGATCACTTTCCCTTGGATTAAAGAAGAAGGGGTGATAACGTGGCGGACATGTGAATCGAATTGCATTGAATCAGGGTCGTGCATGTGTATTATAAGCGGCCCACAATGTTGACTAGGTTCTCAGTATTTTACTTAATTAATTTGTCTCCTTCCCTCTCTCTCTCTCTCTCTCTCTCTCTCTGTGCTGGAATGTTCTCTAATCTTGCTTAATTATCCTCGGATCTTGCACCTTCTCTGTTCAAAATTATGATTCACCAAGTATGAAATGGAAATATCGTTGCTCATATTGTAGCCTCATATGTTGACTCACATATATGTGATTTCCGTTGAATCTTGGTCTGAAGTTTTTATTTAATATTTTTTTGTTGAAGATGTAAACGTTTTAATTAGAATTTAATAAAAGTTATCCTTTGACCCAAAAAAAAAAAAAAAAAGTAAGAAACGAGATCAAAAGAAGAATGTGCTTATTTAATTATCTATTTAAAATTTGAAATTAGGTCAAAGGAAAGAAAAAGAAAAATGATAGCAAGATGTTGAGACTTTCTTTGTAAAAGTTTTTATTTCGATTGTCTGTTGCTTCATAGTTTTGGTTTAAAATATATATTAACTAGTATATTTAGACTTAATAAAATTGACTAAACAACGTACTCTCTCCTCTATATGCGAACTCAAATCCTCCTGACTTAAAATAAATTTAGTGTAAAATTGTTTGTGTCAATAAAAATGGATCACGTTAACTTGACTAAACATGAAGAAGCAACAAGACCACATAATGATTAATAAATAAAAGCATCGTTACAGGAAGAGTTAGTGAATCAATAGTTTGATCAATAACTAAATGCATTAGGACATTTGGTTAACATGAGAATGGTCATGGTGATTTACAAAATAACGTTTTGAGGTAATCTCGTGTATTAAGAGAATGTTATATTAATTACATTAGATTGCTTGAGCTACTTTAGTGTCAAATTCATAAAGTAGTTTTAGGAATCTTGGAACTAAATTATTCATTGACCAAGAAAAAGTTCACTTGTAACAAGCTAGTAATGGATTCAATAGATCAAATCTTTTTCATAGGGTTAAGGAAATTTTTAACTATGAAAATGATCCTCCATCACCTCTTTTCACTTTTTGCACATCATTGCTGACTTTTATTCCTTGATTATGTTTTAATATATTCAAACTAAAAATAACCAAAATGTTCAATAAGAACAACAAAATGTGCTGAAATCACTTCTTTTTACCAAAATGGGATGATGAGGAGGAAATATCATAAATTGGGGTCAACAAAATTCTATTATATTCAGAAATATACTTATATCTACTAGTCAAAAAAATATAACCAAAATATAAAACTAAGCGATGATGTAAATCAAATTTTAAGTAGGATGACAATAATTGTGAACATCTTATCATAAAATGCTAGTCAAGCTGACAACATATCAATCAGTCAATCATACCCTAAAAAACCCTCTTAATAAGAAAAAATTATGATAGAGGCCAACCCAAGAGGAAGGGGGCCCCTACCAACGGCTCAAAATGTTTGGGGGACTAGTTGGAGTTTGTATTTGGAGCTAGGCCTGGCAAACGGGTCGTGTCTATCGTGTTCGTGTCGTTTTCGTGTAACACCTGTTATCTTAACGGATCGTGTCGTGTCACACCCGTTATCTTAACGGGTCCTTAACAGGTCGTGTCTCGTAAAGTGACCCGACCCGTTAAGAAAAAAATATATTTTTTTAAAATTTGCACATACCACACATTGCCACATAAATATTACTTCAAAATATTAAAACATTAAAACTTTTCTCGTTCAAGTATTATATCTACACTCGAAAATAAAAGCCTAATAAAAAAAATAATACATACACTACTAATCTATTACAAATATTAAATGTGCAAGGATAAAGAGTTTTTGTTTTTAAGATTGTAAGTCTTTCTCAAAAGTTTACACCTCCATTTACAAAATCTTCAATTTACATCGAACTTAATGAGAGAGAACTTCTGTTTTTGAGTAATAGCCTACACAATGGACGGCTAAGATTAAATCTCAGCCAATCCAATGGTTATCAATTTTTAAATTTAATAAAAATATATATATATAATTATGTGAAATGGACGGCTGAGATTTAATCTCAGCCGATCCAATGGTCATCAATTTTTAAATTTAATTTAATATATATAATTATTATAGTTTTTACTTTTTAGGGATATAAAATTATTAAATTAATGTATATAATTATTAATATTATAGTTGATTCATACTTTTATTAAGTATATAAATTATAACATAAGATTTTGTGATATCCACATCCACTAGTGTAAATATTTTAAATTGAAGATCAAATTCATTCTTTGTATTCATATAGGGTCAAGGAGTGTAGCTATAAAAACTCATCAAAATCAGAGTTAAAATAACCGTTAAATCTTGATTTTTCGTTTATAACCGTCGAAAAGCTTTGTCCCGTTACTTGATCTCTAAATGTTTTTTTTTTTGTGATTTTTTGCTGATGTGATATCCAAGCATATACAAACAATTTTGACGGTTTGGATCGTTGAAATTAGTTTTGGAGAATTCGTAAAACGATAGATTGACTAACACTTAGAGTTTATTTATACTTTTATTAAGTATAACATAAGATTTTGTGGTATCTACTTGTGTAAATATTTTAAATTGAAGATCAAATTCATTCATTGCATTCATATAGGGTCAAGGAGTGTAGTTATAAAAAATCATCAAAATCGGAGTTAAAATAACCGTTAAATCGTGATTTTTCGTTTATAACCGTTGAAAAACTTTGTCCCGTTACTTGATCTTTGAATGTTTTTTTTTTGTGATTTTTTTCTGATGTGATCTCCAAGCATATACAAACAATTTTGACGGTTTGAATCGTTGAAATTAGTTTTGGAGAATTCGTAAAACGATAGATTGACTAACACTTAGAATTTATTTATACTTTCATTAAGTATAACATAAGATTTTTGTGGTATCCACTTGTGTAAATATTTTAAATTGAAGATCGAATTCATTCATTGTATTTATATAGGGTCAAGGAGTATAGTTATAAAAAATCATCAAAATCGGAGTTAAAATAACCGTTAAATCGTGATTTTTCGTTTATAACCGTTGAAAAGCTTTGTCCCGTTACTTGATCTTTGAATGTTTTTTTTTTGTGATTTTTTGCTGATGTGATCTCCAAGCATATACAAATAATTTTGACGGTTTGGATCGTTGAAATTAGTTTTGGAGAATTCGTAAAACGATAGATTGACTAACACTTAGAGTTTATTTATACTTTCATTAAGTATAACATAAGATTTTGTGGTATCCACTTGTGTAAATATTTTAAATTGAAGATCGAATTCATTCATTGTATTCATATAGGGTCAATGAGTGTAGTTATAAAAAATCATCAAAATCGGAGTTAAAATAACCGTTAAATCGTGATTTTTCGTTTATAACCGTTGAAAAGCTTTGTCCCGTTACTTGATCTTTGAATGTTTTTTTTTTTTGTGATTTTTTGCTGATGTGATCTCCAAGCATATACAAACAATTTTGACGGTTTGGATCGTTGAAATTAGTTTTGGAGAATTTGTAAAACGATAGATTGACTAACACTTAGAATTTATTTATACTTTCATTAAGTATAACATAAGATTTTGTGGTATCCACTTGTGTAAATATTTTAAATTGAAGATCGAATTCATTCATTGTATTCATATAGGGTCAAGGAGTGTAGTTATAAAAAATCATCAAAATCGGAGTTAAAATAACCGTTAAATCGTGATTTTTCGTTTATAACCGTTGAAAAGCTTTGTCCCGTTACTTAATCTCTGAAAGTTTATTTTTTATGATTTTTTGTTGATGTGATCTCAAAGCATATACAAACAAGTTTGACAGTTGGGATCGTTGAAATTAGTTTTGGAGAATTCGTATGCCATCAATCAAGTTCCCTGTGTGTGTGTATATATATATATTTATTAAGTAGATTTAAATCTATTTATTTTGTACGTATAAATTATAATTAACTGACTGGTACACGGAATAGTACATACATCACGTGTCACGTGTGTCATTATAAAAATAGTGAGATATGTCATGACAGTCATGTGTGTGATAAAAAGTTAATAACTTAAAAAAAAAAAAAAAAA